CTGCACGATGGAGCTGTGCTTCTGAGAAACACAGGACTGTGGCCAACAAACAGAAGTGGAGAAGTTCCCCTCCCCAGGGTCACATGCTGTAGCAATAATAAAACTAGAGAGGGTTGCAAGTTCATCCTCCTGACAGCAGGTCTAGTAAGTGATGTGACTGATGAGGCAACAGTGACCCAAAAGTGAATATAAATACCTGCATCTTCTTCACACTCAACCATCAGACAGGAGACCTGAAAGGAGCAGACCACAGTCATCCACATCAGGAGGAACCTTGTTGAAGTCAAAACCAAGATGAAGACGTTCAGTGTTGCAGTTGCAGTGGCCGTCATGCTCACATTCATCTGTATCCAGGAGAGCTCTGCAGTCCCACTCAGTGAAGTAAGAGCTCGACTGAAACTCTGTGAATTTGTTTATTAGTTCCAGACGTTTTGTTTAAATGCTAAAATGTCACTCTTATTGTGAACAATTCATCAACAGGACCAAGAGTTGGAGGTGTCACTGTTCCCTGAACATCCAGCTGCAGCAAATGGAGAATCAGCAGTGGACTCTTGGGAGGTAGGTAACACTAACTGAATGAATGTGGCCAAACAGCTTCTCCTAACTCAGATGTGAGTGGATGTGTTTTCTCTACAAAGTGCTCTGATGCTTCCTGCAGAAGGTGAGAAATAAACAGGCATTAACACTGTGCTCCTGTCTCCCGTGTTTCAGAAGTCGGGCATCCATTGTCGCATTTGCTGTGGCTGCTGCACCCCTGGCGTGTGTGGACTTTGCTGCAAATGGAAATGAAATGAATTCAGCTCAGTGATTATTAAACTGCATGTGTAATGACATTACTGAGTTTGCTTGCATTGTCCTTGACGTGTAGGCTTATTCATGTGACTGCATCGTTCAAACATATAATAAACTTTAAAGTCACTACAATCTCGTGTGTTAAAGTCTTTTATTTGTGAAGCGAGAAGTGAGGCATCCATTGCTGCTTTTGCTGTGGCAGCTGCTCTCCTGGCACGTGCAGACTTTGCTGCAAATGAATTTACTAGAATAAACATGACATATTAAATTTTGTGGATGTTACTGGATTTGCTCCATGATGTACTTTCTGTGCACTCAGTGACTGTATCATCCATATATGTTTCTAAATAACTACTTTAGCTAAAATGCATTGTTAATAACATTTTAATGGTTCTAAAGTTAGTTAAAATGTTGTTTTCAATAAGACAGGATTTTTGTCTTTGTCAAAACATTGTCTTTCTTTTGTTTTTTCTTTTCTTTTTAACATTCCTGTGCACTCAAATACACACAGATAGCATAAACATCCCATTTGGTGTATTTCTGTGCCATGGAACTGACTCAGTTCTTGTTTTCTATCAGAGTAAATCTATTAAACCTGCATTTTAAGTTAAAAAATAAATAAAAAACTAACAAAAAAATTTGAATTAAAACAAAACTTGTATGCAGACATGACTGGACCACACGGTCATGTATGATAAGAAACAGAGACAACAGAATATTACGACACATAAGCGCCTCAGTGCAAAATACTAAATCATGTGTGCAGGTACATAAACTGACATGACGACTCCACAGAGCCTCTTCATAGACAGGTTCCAGGAAATCCAGCAGACATGGTGAAAACTGTCACAGCGTGAGCTCGGCAGTGTCTGGAAGCATCCTGTCATGTAGCGTGCCTTTTTGTTGTAACTCAAAAAAGAAACAGCCATATTTCTCATTCCAATCACTTTCCCACCGATTAAGAGGAGATGAGGGAGCAAGATTTACTGTGCATTTATATGTGTACGTGCACCCAGAGTCCTGTCACAAGTATTTGAAACCACAGGCTGTCTTCTAAGGGTTTTAGTGGGATATCTGGGGAGAAATTAAATCACACCAGACAAAAAACAGCAACAAAACAATAAATACATTTTTTAAAGTGTGTTGACAACACAGTAATAATGCAAGTGCATGACTACAACTTCCACCCTGCTTCAGGTCAGTGTAACATCTAATGAGGTGGATAAGTACAAGAGCCACAAACAAAGTCCAGGACTTAGTGATAACTGAAATATTAGAGAGATAATTTATCTAGAAAGTAAAAATTGCTGTTCAAAATCTGTTGTTCACAGATAAAGCAGCTTCTAGTATATGATTACAGTTTTCCTGCAGTCAAGCTAATGTTACCATAAACTTAAACAGGGTTTTTGAGCAACAGCATAAAGGATGTGACTGATGAAACACACTAATGTTAATGTTAATGTTTACATTTCTTGTCAAATTTATGAAAATCTGCATTGAAAATGGTTCAACAAACCCTGAACTGTTTTAAATCATCCTGGACATAAGAACTACACTGCTGCCATAAAGCCCTGAACTTCATGTATGTTGCAATCACAAGAACCAACCTACCCTGTAGAACCTCTCACAGGCATTATTTGGCGGAGAAAAAAAGCAATTGCTGTGCAATTAGTTAGCTCTCAATGCTGATTGATTTTACTTTAAGAGGACAAACATTGGTTCAGCTGGAGAGGACAAGTCACCACTTTTCTGCTTCTCATGTCCTTGTTGAGTAGTCTTCTCCTTTCAAACACCTCCATCAATAAAATTCATCACATAGGCAAACACAAATACATCCATTGTTCTGCTTCCTCAATTGTCATTGACACTTCTCGGACTCTTGTTTTTCGTGACAAGAGACAGTAACCAGTAGCCTATTGACGCAAGGATCACATCTCTGGGCAAGATGGATGACAACTATTGTACGAACACTCAATGTTTCATACTTAACAAGTTTTAAAACTCTTCTAATGTCTGTAGTTGGGCAGCAAACTTATCGTCAGCTTGCCAAATCGGGGTCATGCATTGCCTTTCTCCAACCTTTCAGAAATCTGTTTGAGACCTTATGACTACAAAGGTCGTAGCATAGGATTGCATCATTATTTTTCCTGAACACTGCCTAATTATTCTAATTTGCTCTACATGCAGCTTTTAGTAAACGACTTCAATTGCAATACAGAAAGCACGATTTGGGTGTAATCTAGGTATGCTTTAACTGTCAACCAATTCAGTATGTAGGGTTGTTGTGAACAAAGGGACCTATAGGTTGTAGTTCTGAAGCTGTAGCCTCGTGTAGTGCAGACACATAAGATTGGAATCTTCTCTTGGAAGCGAATCGCCTCGACTCTGAGGAGTCTGACTTCAGGGAATGAACCGTTCCACCCAATGCAGTTCGAGAACACTATGGTCTTCTATCTTGCTCACGTTTTTGCATTTCTCAAGACTATGAAGACTACAAAGCTGAAATTTAGCCAATGTAATTGTATCAAAGACAATGTTTTTCTTTCAGTTCTACGCAGGAAGAGGAAAAGTAAACATTAAGCTATTGCATGTGTTCATCATAACTGGACATCATGAAAGCTTGCCCTTTATATTTATATAAGAAAAGGTATTCAAAAGGGCAGTCTGTATTTCAACAGATGTGGGGCTAGTCTTTGTACAATTTGTTGACACAGGTCAGAGTTGACGAGGGAGCATGAAGTGAGGGATTTTGGTTATTGCACAATCTATTTGGAAAGACTGAAAATTCTAACGGCCCCTGACATTTTCAAGGTCAACTTCACACATGACTTCAACCATCATTAATTACTGTGTTTATTTACAGTCTCATTCTATTTATGCTGACATGCCATCTTAAGGAGTCCAATGATAAAAAGTCTAAATATTAAGACAGTATGCTTGGTGTTGGATCGATGTTTGTGTTGAGTAGTATGACACATTATACTGATCTGGTAAAAAATGGTACAGTATGCCAAGGGATCAGGAATGCTATTACAATACTGTATTTTTAATGTTATGTTCTTCATTATGTAAATTTAGTGTGCTTAATAGGTGCACTGAAGTACAGATTAGGTATTAATAGTATACACTGTGTGATGAAACTGTACTTCTAGCACTCATAATGCTAAATCAAATTTCAAGGATCTCACGACATGAAATTCTTAGCAGTCACATATTTTATTTTATAAAGCAAGTGATTCCAAAAAAGTTTTTTTAAAAGAACTTTCAAGGTTTAAAATTTGTCGTTCAATCAACTGTACAACATACTAAGCAGACCCATGGAAATAACTTGCTATGACAAGGTTCATTCATGCCAAGAGAAAAATACATATACTGGACAAATCTTTTCTAATACTGTGAACAAGCACTGTGTCCAGCAAATAAAAACAAAAAACTTCCTATTCCTTGGGAAATTCCCAGCATCACTCAGGTGGTGATGAAAGGCCAGTCCTGGAGGGACGTCCATTGGCCCAGCTGACTATAAATACACATTCAACCATCACACACCAAAAAGTCAGACAGGAAGAGAAGCCAGATGAGTCAAAGAGTTTGAAAAGTTAAACCCCAAAAATGAAGATGTTCTGCATTGTAGCTGCAGTGGCCGTTCTCCTTGGTTTTATTTGCATTCAGGGGAACTTTGCCTTCCCGTTCACTACAGTAAGACTTTAATTATTTCTTTGCTTATGAGTTTTGTGGGCTTTTTTAGGATGCTAGGACGTTGTTCTCAAACATGCACAACTCATCAACAGGTGGAAGAGTTGGAGGAGGAGATGAGCACCGACAATCCAGATGCGACACAAGAGGAGACTTCAGTGGAAACATGGATGGTACGTTCAGTTGATCAAATAGCTAAGTCATTTACCATGAGTCAATCCAAATGTTATTGGATGTGATTCTCTAATAAACCGCCACGATGCTTTGCAGATGAGAGCGGAGAGGAACTTAAAGTCATGTCTCTTGTCTTTTACACAGATGCCATTTAACATCAGGGAAAACGGTTATACTGGTCCCATTAGATGCCGTTATTGCTGTGGTTGCTGTGCCCTCGGTGTCTGTGGCATCTGCTGCAAGTGAGGATTGGTGTGTCTGGATCTGAGTAGCTAACACTGAAATTTACTTTGGTTTTTTTTGTTGTTTTTTTTAAAATATAAATTAAAAATCTGATGTCACTGGATGTGGTCATGCTGTAATTACCACTGTATGTGCTTAGCAATGTCACTGCATTGTCAACACATATTACAAGTTTTAGGAGACTTCAGTGAATTATTGTATTCTTTGGTCAAGAAATTATCGTATTCTGTGTTCTGTGTTGTCTGAGCTTTAATTGCATAGAATAATTTGATTACCAGAAAGAAAGAGTGTAGGGCCTTATAACCTAACAGCACACATTGTCTGTCACCGCTCACATACTGGTGTGTTTAGAGAATAATACCCTCCAACTAACAGCACTTTCAAAGGCAACTTTATTTTCCAAGGGTGGTCTGTTGTCCAAGTGCAAACCAGGCTCAGCTCTGCAGTGGTTCACTTGTTATCCAGTACAGTACAGGGAGGTATGGCGTGCGGCCATGGTGGTGTGCATGCTATTGTGTTACTTTCAGCATGGCTGGATCGCACCTCACAATTATAATGACCACAAAGGTCAAATAAATGGTCTGGTGTTAAATCGGTGCAGAAATGATTAGGGGAACACACAGACTCACACAGACTGTGGGACAGAGTTATGAATGGTGAAACAATATACAGAGAGGTCAACATATTGCAAGTGACAGGCAGAACAATGGCGAACCTGTGGTTGCTGTTTAAGCCAGTGTGATTACAATTTAATTACCCCCATGCACACCAGAAGTGCATATACACGCAGAAACACACAAGTTTGCTTGCACTCACACATGCACAGACTACCAGTCTGGAGCCTGGCGGACTCCTGCTCTGATCCCACCCTCATGCAGCCTTGCAGGGGGCTGAGCGGAGCAGCGTGCCAGGCCTGCCTCACGTCCAGACGGATGCCCGTTGTACGCCCCCATACCAACAGAGCTGCTGCCAAACCACACAAGGAGATAGTAAATGAGTGCAGAGGGTTCTGTTCAGCTTCCTCACACACACACACTCACACACACACCATGTGGTTTATTTTATCTGACTCATGCCCACATACACACATACGAAACACAATGCAGGCCGGCAGGCAGCAATTAGGGGCCTGTTCATCGGTGAACTGCAGTAAACTAGCTCTATAAATCTTCAAGCTAGTGTATTTTAGGAACTAACTAAAATTCTCCAGCAGTAAGCACAGGAATTCACAGGATGTTGCTGTTGCTGGTCATTTTGATCAGTCGGCACTCTTGAGTGGATGGCATTCAGCCGGAACAATAAAAGAAATAGCTTCAGATCTTTACTGAGACAAATGCAACTGGAACTTTGCAAATACTGTAGACGCAGCATCGCTTTGAACTAAATGCTGAAACTGAGATGTTCACATGCTCACAGTGATGACGCTAGCATGCTGGTGTCTAGAAGCTTGAGAGATAACAATGTACAGCATCTATGTATAGCAAATTGGTATGAAATCAAGTAGAGCTGATAGGACTGTCATGAATTTAGCAGGTACTCGGGTATAAAATGAGATGCTGGACTAATGAAAAAATGGACCTAATAAATCCCCAAGCTGAAAAATCAGGAAAAGTCAATACACTTCTTCTCCACTGGAATGTCTTTTGCAAATTTCAAGTCCATCCATCCAATAGCTGTCAAGCCATTGAACTCAAAACCACAACTAGGCGCTGACAGTCGTTGTTGTTGACATTTGTGAACATGTTTGACCTGCTGGTTGTGCTACAGCTAAAGGGATCGATGAAGTCTGCTGGCTTCATGCTCTGTGGATTGTAAATATCTGAGCATCTGAGCAAAATAATGCAGCAACTCAACCATTCGCTGTTGAGATTTTTCTTTTTGGGCCAAAACTTTGACTGATCATTTGCCTGATACACAATATTACTGGAGCTCCGCTGTTAGCATGGGTTATACATAAAAGAATTGGACTGTCCTTTTCATATTAATATTAAAAATGCTGATTGAATGCTAAACAATCTTCCCATTAAAGCCTAATAGTCCACTTAACCCTTTGGTTGGCAAAATACATAATATTTTACTGACTCATTTCTTTAAAGTAAATTAGGAATTGTGAGTAATGCTTTTTTAAATTGTTATCTAACTCGGCATAACAGAGTTTTCTATTATGGTTCGTCCTGATTGGATCCAGAGGGCGACATTACGTACAATATTTTCGGTAATATCTCTTTTGACTGCAATTGTTTCAGACTCTTACCCGACAGATTAGTCATCACTTTCTACAGTTAATCACTTAAACCAGCAACAGCCGAGAGCAGAGTGTGAACTAGAGGCTCCACCGCAGGTCACACTCCACAGCAAAGGCTGTGAGCCATTCACACACAAACACACACGCGCGCACACACAGACACACACACAATCAAGGCTGGGAACCACTGCCATGAGGTCAAGACCTCCCCTATAGCTGAGTTGATTAAACACGTTTCTACAACCCACACACTGCCCAATAAAATCTGCTGTGCTGAGGATGATGACTGTGTTGCACTCGCTGGGAGCATCACTGGCTCCAGTCTTTCCGAAGAGCCCAGCCCAACGAGCGAGACTTCGGCTACAACACCCTGCTGCAGCGGCTCCACTTCCACCTACTCGCCATGCCTTGGGGGAGCAATCAACCTGGGTCCTTATTAGGATAACGACTGTTTGTACATGTGTACATGTATGAATGAATATTTCTTCCACAGACCCTCCAAGTGGAGGCAAAGGTTGCTTCTGAAGCATGCTGCTGCATAATCCGGCCCTGAATGAAGGCGGAGTGGGGGATAAACATTCCTGGACAATGAAACCCTCCTTTGCCCCCTGCTGTATTCATACCCACTTAAAATCTGCTTACCCACAATGCAACACTTGGCTCAAGTGAGTAGCCCCCCTCGAACCAGCGGAGTGCCACTACAGAACAACATATCCCAGCTCATAGAAGCCACAAGTGTCAGCTATGGCTCAAATACAACCCTTCTGGGCCCTTACTGAGCACATTATATCCAATTCAACTGGTCTTAATATACTTTAATAAGACCTGTTTTCGATTAATTCTCCCTTGAAACCGGTAGTAACGCAGCTACTAGGCAGTGGGCACATATAAAAATTGAATGAATGGAGCAGGGCTGCCAGAGAGTCAGGAGGGGGAAAATAGGAATCCTTGTGGATTTGTCCTCACCAGCTGGCTCTTGAGCCCAATATAATGGTTGTGCCCATGGCTCTCAGAGCACCCGTAAGAGGAAATGTTTGCCCAGTCTGTAATGTGTTTAAGGTGCGCAGTGTGATTCAGTTCAGGTCATAAAGCCCTTGTGAGTCACATCCTGAGTGGAAGGACAGATCTGCTCTGCCTATATTTCCCTCTTGTGAACAGGGACAATGCCTTTGTGTTGTGTTTGGATCCAAATGTAAATGAAAGGCCAGGTATTCCAGATGAACATGCGGTTAAATAGGTTTAAAAAAATGTTTTAAAATTTAAATAAAACACTTACAGCACCCTAAGGAAACACCACACCGGGTCAGTATAGAAATGCCTGTCTGTTCCATGTAATGGATGGTGATAAAAGAAAATCCCATGTCCCACACTGCACCTGCTGCAATGAAGCCTGACTGAAACACGACCAGAGCAAGTGACTCATAAATATCCCCCCATTTGTCATCCAGGAATATAAAGTAAAATATACACTATATGAATATATACGTCAAATAGAGTGTGGTGATACTAATGTGCAAGGTGAGCATCAGGACCATGAATACCTACTCCTGTCCTGCAGGTGAGGCTGATGCAAGGTGACAACATGACTGAGATCATCATCCATGCAGCTTTGCCAGTATGCTGCTAGTCCAGCTCTGAATCTTTTTACAATTTCCCATTTCGAATGTTTCTGCAGAAAAGCAAATGGCTGTCACAGACAATTAGCTTTTATTGAAGCAGATATTTATTTTAGGGATTAACTTGTTACCTAGCAACACCAAATGAAGCCAAATCCTGCATAGAGAGTTGACTTTGGATTGCATTGTTGCAATTAGGAGTGAGTTTAGTAATAAAAGTCACCCATTAATGCCACCATTTAGCGGGCTTGTACGCACCATGATGTCTAACATATGGCAAACTTGTTCGAAATATTAAGATCTGCTTGTCCTTTGACACCAGTATGTTCCTAGTCGTTGCTGTTTCGGCCCGTGCCAAACACCATGGCTAACCCATATGAAGATTAATGATTCCAGATTTCCCTCAACTCGAAGGGCAAGCAATGGCTCATTATACAGTTATTAAAAACAGCAAATTATTACAACTTTTATTATCCCGGGCAATCTTATTTGCCCCACCAATGTCATAACTTCCATTTCTGCCATCTACATTGGAACGAATGTGTCACATGTGCCACAACTGCACACTCACAGTAGGCTACAGTATGTGAATGTAGAGCAGAGGTCCCTCTCTTCTTATCCTCTTACTGTCTTGTGAGGTACATACAGGGCACACAATGGATGCACTCACGTGCCATACCAACCTGCTTTAAAAGCACAGATTGCTATCACTGATCTATACAGTTTCAAGCCCACTGGGTCATTTCCTGTTAGTGGTTTCACTTGTTGTGCCTTTGAAGCAGGCTTTAATAATAGGACCCAACAGAACTAATGAAAATGCTCTCTGTCAGATTAAAAGGGAGCTTCAGTCTCAGCCACCTAACCACATTCAGCACAAACATTAAAACACACACACACACACACACTCACACACAGAGGCAGGCATACACACAGTTTACAGAAGTGGTTTACACAGGGAGGACCATTCCTTCTGATGTGTGGATGACTGTTAACCCTCTTAACAACACTGAGAATACCATCAGTGTCCTGTTTCTCACAGTCGCAGAGAAAAAAAAAAAAACAAGTGGACTGATGTCAAAAGGGGAGAGGTGAAGGGAAATAAAGCGACTCATTCATCCAAAATGTGCGATGCGATTCTTTGTACTCCTTTCTTTTTCCATTGTAGATGCTGCAACGTGCGGTTTAGTGGTGGTCTTGTGCTTAATGAATCCACTTCAGTGCAGTTCCTCTCCGTAAGCCTTTAGGTTTAATCCCCCAGTCTGGAGCAATGATAGTCTGGCCCAGGGGATGACATCTGTGAATCGTTCATTAACTTGTAACCAGCAGCAGATGTCTTTAAAAACAACTTGCTACATCTACGCCTTATTTCATTCCCTGCAACAGTCAATTTTGCTTTGCTTCAATTGCTGGTGGACCAAACTGGCCGTTTATTGACCTCGCAATGTGCAAGATTATTTGCAAAGAATGTGCAATTTTATCGTAATAACTTGCGCAACACGGAAGCCTTAAACTGTTTTAAGTTTTCTTCACCACCTAGCTGTCTATTAAAAGAAACATTTTGACTTGTTTTATCTGTTAATATAACTTGCCCGTGCATTTTTATGAGCTTATAAATTGGATCTTTTTACTCAGGACGTATTAAATCATTTGACCTATTTTTGCCACCTCACATTTAAACTTTACAAACTGATGACTTGTTCAAACTGTGTTCACAACTTGTTTTCCATGTCTCCAAGGGGCTAAAAATCCCTAAAATGCAGTTAAATTCAGGATTTTATCATCAATATAATGCTGTAGTAGCACTGTGTAAATTTCTTTTTTTTTGCATTTTCATCAGCAAGCTAATGCTAAAAAAAAAAGCTTATCCACATAAATATTCATACTTTATTCTCTCCTTATTGGGTCATCGCGGACATTTTTTGGAAGCGTTTTACTAAATGTCGCTTTTCTCATGGTGAAAGCTGATTAGTACAAACTGATTCATACAAGCTAATGAACTGCAAGACTTTCAGTGAAGAATGTTAGTTTTTCACCCAACAAATGACAAAACAATCATCACAACAGCTAAAACAATGTGAATGCAGCTTGAGTTCACTGGTGAATGACTGTCATAGCCTGCATCCTATAAACAGCCTGTCAATCAAGCCAAATAGTCCCCCAGCTACTGCTTCCTTTAAGGCATAATATCTTTTTAATTATGCATTTCTTTTCACAGTGACCAACAACACACTAATCACAATGAGTGAATGTATCTAATAACATCAAAATGACTTGTGGAATAAAATTACTGACTTAGTATTTCAGAAAGAAGTTGATGCTTTTTGAATGGGACTATTTTTGGCGCCACCCCCTTCCCTCAGTGGTATTGCGCTTTAAGGATGTTTGGTATTTGCGTCAGTGTCACGCTTGGTTGTTGACTCTTTCCGGAAATGCTGTGCAGTATTTGAACACTTAACATAGTTTATCGAAAGAAAATTTTTGGCTTGATCCATGCGATGTGTATCATTTACGCTGCATTCCGTGACTTGTCTGATTGCCTTTTACTACATTTTGTCAGTTTTGTGGCTCAGTAGCACAAATGTCACTCGGTAGAAGTGTTAAGCTGTGAAAGTGAATAGCCTCCTGTGTAAAATCTTCCGTGGCACTTTGAACACCTGTGAAAGATGTTCAGGCTCCTAAAAACTGCGCATTCAGCCCAAGGACGGACGTGGAGCACATAAAGAGTGGGGTATTTCAACACTGACAGCCTCCCCAGTGGAAATATTATGTGTGATTTCAGGGAGGGGGGTTAACCAGAGCAGGAAAAACTGCGGTCTGTTTCTCCCAGGATGATATATATGTGACACAGTGTGATTCATCTGCTACTGTGCATCCATAAGCTGTCTGGCAGATTTCAGATTTTTTTTTTTCCTCTTTTGGGACAGTGATTATACAGTGTGGATCATGGGGCTAAATTAGCCATGACTTGAATTAAAACATTTTCTTCTTAACCATATACCAGATAGGTTTAGCATAGAGAAGATGTTCATATGTGTTTATTTGATGCTTTGAAGAGACAAAAAAAAAAGACAAGTGCCACAGCCAAATACAAGCTGTTCAGGCATTACAGTATGATGGTGGAGAAGGATGAGCCACCGTCGACATGTGCTGGTTTTGTAGCATTCATGAGGATACGTCATAGTGAATTACAAACCCTTAACGGTGCCGTCATGCTGCTAAGGCCCAATCGACCGTATCCAATCCTTTGGCTGAAGGTAGCACTTGTGTCATGCAGCGCGACATAATGGATTTCACAAATGTTTTTGAAATCACATAACTGAACTCAGAAGTGAGACAAGGAAACGACAGTTTCAGAGTTTAGCCACATATATTATAGCCACAGACAATAATGAAAGGCTTCATCATACAGTCACATGAAATGTATTTTAATAAAACACAATGTACACATATGCAGTCCTATGACCATACATTTGCTGGATCCTAATTAATAAACCTAGAATATGTCAAAGCATAGTTTCATTAGTTTTTCTTCCTCTTTAAAACATCAAAATCAGTAGATGAGGTCAAATGAATGTAATACAACACTTGCGTGACAGACAAAAACCTTCTCCACGTGTTAAAGATATGCACTGTTATAAGGAACTCAAAGAATATTTCAGCATATAAGAGTAACAGTATGAGGCAAAAATTCTCACTGAACCAAAAAAGTACAAAAAAGAATTAATAAATAAATCAAATATATACCATATAAATGAAATAGCTATGCGGTGGCTATGTTTATTATTTGTTTTTAATTATTTCAATCTGTAGCTTGTATTACAACCTTTTTTTTTTTATCTCTAAAACATTTAGAACGGTGAACGAGTCAATACTGAAAATACAGTAATAAGCTTTCATAATTAGATCAACTATGTACACGAGTCTGTTGCCATGCTAGTCGAACAACTAAATTTCTTCTTTTTTAAATCCACACTATACAGTTAGAGCATAAAGCGGTCTGAACGTAAACAGTTTGTGCTGAGAATAAAATACTTTGCAACTATGCATGGTAATTTCTTTAATATTACTCTCAAAAATGTACATAACATAAAGGCCACACATGGGAACACTCCGTCTCCATTTAGAGGGAAGGTGAGGGTAGCTTTGACATAAATATAGGAACAAAAAACAGTCTGTCTCAGTTCAAGATGCCATTTTCTTGTCCATCAGCATCCTTTGCTTCAGCCGAACCTCTTTTTTCCTCTTCATCCTCCAGCATGATTTCATCCTTCCCCGAGCAGTTTTGCTTGTCAACTCCCTCACTACCTCACCTATCCACCACCCTCTTTTTCCGGCTCTCCTGCCTCCACGGCACCTCTGGTTGCCCCTCCGGCTTCCATCACCCTGGACGGTTAATGACATTGTTAATGACGTTAAATGAGTTCAGTAATGTCAACTGTAAAGGTCCACAAGGCAAGGCAAGGGGTGGGGGATCAGAGTCACCTGGTTGGTCACTGCAGCAGGGGGTGAAGCAGTGGGAGGCAGAGGCATGAAGCATGTGTTCACTGTGTTGGTGATGATAGCGCACGATGTGCGGCATATATTTTTGGAGTGACGGATTTGTGAGTCATGGCTATGTCCTGGCGGGTAGAGCGGAGGTTGGGGAGGGCTGGGAGGCAGGTGGGGGGGTTCGTGATGGTCGTCAGTCAGAATATGGGTGCAGCAGCGGCTAGCAGCGTTGCGTTGGTTCTTTGTTTGATGGGTAGTTTCAGTCCTCACTGGCTGGAGCGCGCAGAGGCCAAGTGGTCACTGTGCTGGTTCTGGGCCCGAAACCGCAGCCTCTGCTTGTTCTTCTTCTTTGGTTCTTTGGATCGGTGCTTCCCTGAACCACCTGATAATAAAAAGAGAGAAATGGTTATCCCTTTTACTCAGGGAGAAACAACAGTCCTATGTACCAACAGCTTTGTGTCCTTTCATACCACATGTTACATGAGGGATTACCAATGGAGCAAAGTGACCATTTGTCCTGGACTCCAAAACAGGTCAGTTACCTTGGGGTAACTTTACCGATTGTATGTTTGTTTGGTTGCATGCACCTCTAAAAGACATCAACAACCAAAATGGCAAATGCACTGACATAGGGCTCTCGCATTTTTTACCTTATTTTAAGGCACTGACCTTCTTTAGCTTTTATTTCTTTTTACTTCCAGATAATTCTACTTTCTGGGACTCTGGACAAAATAGGTTTGGGGAAATGTATGTGTTAAGGGGCTCAATATGTGCTCACAGCTGCAGGGTGACTAAAGCTCTGCTTGTGATTAAGCAATAAATTCTCTGCTTTTTTGACAAACGAGTGCACTTCTGTGTTTGCCAACTCCTCGTGGAGAGTCTGACTACAAGATCTGAGACCTTCATAAGGAAAAAGAATCCAGAACGTGAACATTTATTTGGGCACTTTGTTTTGGGTGAAAAAATCCATTTAGTTCCACACAGACACAGTTGCATCTAATATCCACACTGACCTGGCCTCACTATAAAGAGATTGTTGGCAGCTGTGTGGTGCTGTTCTAGGCACATTTGCTTTGAGTGCACTATGACTAGAAGTATACCGTGATGATGTGAAAGACTATTCACACTTGTACCTGGTCATCTGCTCGGAATATGTCTTGCAAAACAGCTGATGATGCAGCGTACTGATGGATGCAAAAATCTGCTTTTCAAGGATCAGACTAATGACCAGTGAGCTCATCTTCTCTTGGAGCGGTATAGAAAAGCACAGCCACAGCGTGAGCTCAACCTGCTTATTTTGTGTTGGAGAAGCCCAGATAAAGACTTGTATTTCATTACACTGTCCAAGGGTTTGGTAAATTTGAATTTAACTACAAGCTTCTTGAAAGAATCAAAGGGTGCTTTGGCTATTGACGGCTCATGAGGATTCCAAAAAGTTACTGATGTCTGACACGTTATGCAACTTTGCTGATGAAAAAGGCTGCATTACATAAAAAGTGAACGTTACATGAGGGAACATCACATATCAGCTTGCTCCAGCCCTCAGGACTGAGCCTCAGTTTTAAACAAATGTCTGTTCAGCCCAACACTTTTCACTGTCACTGCAATAGAGAGGGGAGATAAGTATGGGAAGTTGCATAACTCTCTTTCCAAGTTGGAAAGGTCCCCCAGCCCAAGGTTAATCCATCCCAGGTTTCACTGGGATGGGCAAAGCATGCTGGGAACTGACTTCCTGCTCTCATGGAAGCTTGTGTGGTGGAGGTTCTGCACCCACGGCTCTCTGTGACAGAGAAAACTCTGGCTACCGAACCACAAGGCAACAATCTGGCTGCCAAGGCCACAAATAAGATAACGAGGTGTGTGTGCGAGATGTATGTGTGCAAGGGGGGAGTGAGTGTGAGGGAATTTAAGGGAAAAGAAAATCTAATGGGGGGAAAAGTGGAGTAAGGCTTGGATGATGAGATGCTATCTGGATCCTGATCTAGAACACAAAGAAACAAGCCACGCTATGGTTCGCTGAGGGGGGAAGTACAGGAAAGCGCTACAGCAAAACAAGTCTTGAACGCAAGCTTTCGCTGCCTCATTTTGGGTCCTATTACTGCACTTGTTTAAGCTTTTTCTCTCACAAGAAATAGGTAACGGTGTGTAAAATGTGGCATTATCTCTAATTGCCTTCTCATATGTGCTGGCATTGCGGTGGCCCTTTAACCACCCCTACAAAAGACCTATTTCCCATTCTCAGGGCTGCACTGTGAGGTAGATTTGAAAATATTCACTCGTTTAAGCCGACATGCATGAGAAAGCAAGATATTGCTCTACTAATAGGGTCTCCCAATGAATAATACAGATGCATGCAAACATCAAACCATCTCAGAGCTATTTCCTGCAATTAATCTAATCTTGTTATTTTGAGTCACATTGCCAATCTGAGCCATGGCAATAAAGTTTCTCGCACACAGCTCCTAGTTAAAATCACCCTTTGAAAACAACTTTCACATCTCTCCCATCAAACTCTCGTACCCTGCAGCTGAAAAATATTGGACTTTGTACACTTGCTTAGTTGATGCCACTTTAGATTTTTTGCATGACTTAAGTACAATAATGTTTGTTAAAGTAAAGCTGGAGCTCAAAGGCATTTGGCCTATAGGTTCGTTTTCCTAATTGCGCTTTAAAGAGGTAATTTTCATTCAAAACAGTGTTGCTAGGTGCCTGATAAACACGGCTTTCAGTGCAATCAACTCAAGATGAATTACATTTGACGGCAATAAAGTACATGGTGCTGCATTAAACTCCCTCTGTAACGGGCAAAGCCCTCGTGGGCCATTCCTTGGATGCAAGGCTGCATTTAAACTGAAAAAGCCTGCATTTACAGCAATTGCTTGAAACACAAATAAATATGTGAGTTAGGTTAAAAAGTAGTTTTCCTGGCTAGTTCAGGACTGGGCAGCAGATCTGTAATCCAAAGGGTTTTATGCTCATAACACACACGCATGCACATGCACACATATAAAGAAACAAATTCCACAGCTGCACATGCAGACTGAGCTACTGAGGTATACCAAACAGACATATTTCACTGGTACGATGATTATATTTGTGTTTTTCTGGATTGATTTTATCTGCCTCTTTGCTTTTAATGTAATTAATTAATAATTGTGTTTATGTTCTGCGGACTGATTTTATCTGTCTTCTTATACTTTTGTTGTGAAGCACTTTGAATTACCTCGGGTACGAATTGTGCTATACAAATAAACCTGCCTTGCCTTGCCTTGCCTTGCCTTGCCTACAATGATTCGTCATTCTACAGCGATACAGCTTAGTGATTAAAGCGGGCCCGATCATATAACTTTACCCTTCCATCCTATACATTCCTTAATTTCCCTCCCTTTTCCATGCTTCTCTTCCTGCCTTCCTTTTACTTTAACATAAGGGGGAAATGTAAGAAGAAAAGGCCCTGCTTGTGTACTCTACAAAGACAAACTTCACTAACGACGATATTCTTCAGAACTGAGTCAAGCTGACTTTTGACCACATAAAACTGTTATTTCAAAAGAATAATATATGCCTTTGCTGAAAATAAAGTTTTAAATTTGGAATAATAACAAAACTGAGCTACAAACAAGAACTCTGAAGCCAGTTGCACCAACTGGTCTTTAGCAGGTCTGGTCCTAACTGCTACGTCAGTCTTTGTTAAGACCAGTCGTTGGAATGAGTTCTGTCAGTTCCACCGACCAAACTTAAACCTAACCTTAACTAAACCCCGACTAGCAAAGTGTATTCATGTGATTGCCCATGTAACTATGGTTGCTGCCTCGCATGTCTAATGTGCATCATGGCAACAATCTCCCGCTGTCTTGCTAATTTGACATTTCTGATTTGTGCCAACTATGGACAATCAAAGAAAAAGAAAAGGTAATTTCACTGACAGTGAAATAGGAAAATTAGACTTGTACAGTCACCACAAGAACACTCTGACTGCCAAGCAGTACAACATGATAACAAACAAGAATAAGCAGTTGACTTGGACAGAAATAATGGAGGGTGTATATGATTGTTCTTGGGCAGCCGTTTTTCAGAAACTGATGCAAAGAAAAAGTGGAAAGACCCCATCAGCAAGGCAGAGAAAGACATGTCTTTGAAAAAGTCAGTGTACTGAAATATACTTGTGATGTTTTTGGAGAGGATAAATCTGCTTTTACTGGTCTGGTCAGCGCAGAATATGGTGGTACTGACCAACTGCTGGAAGAAAGTGACGTCTCATTTTGCATAAACATTGCTTTTTATTATTTAGTAACCCTCTCATACCTATAAGCCTACTCTTAATAATTATATATATTGTAATTATATGAGGAATGCCATTGCCTTTTGTCTACAAGATTTGTGTCAAAGCTGTTTCTGTAAAATGGTCAAGATTTTGACTTTATGCCCACTTTAGCGAGAGGAAGGCTTAAAACTTGATGATGCAACTGGCTTAAGTATTAAGTTGGACTAAGAATGGCAAGTTTTGTCCAACTTAGTTTAAGACTAAGTGTTAACCCTGATGGTGCAACAAGCCCCTGGAGCCTCGAGACTGATTGCACCCAACTGTCAAAAAGAGCCAACCAGCTGGATCTAGAGCTATGTGAAATGAAAGCTAGCTCAGACGACAGCATTGGCTAGCTTAATCATAGTCATAAATGTAAAAAAAAAAAAACGTCATTGACTTAAACACATGTAACATGTAAATAAAGGCATTTCAGCTAAGTTTTATGGTGACAATTGTGTTATTCTAAAATTTCAACACCAGGATTATCAGTTTTGTATCAGCTCCAAATATCAGTTATTGGTATCTGTTATTACAAATAATCAATATCTGTATCAGCCCTGAAAAAAAACTTTCAGTCAACCCCTACTATGAACTGTACATGAAACTAAGTTTATTTTCTTATTCTATCTAGTTATGATGGACAGAAGACACAATTTTCCAGCATTTAAAGGCAGAGTGCATTATCTATATTTTCGGTAATATAATAAAACTATTTTCTTTTAGATTAAATAATCAGTTTTCCAGTCAGCCTGAAAACCTCAAAGCTCTTTTGTTCAGTTCCTCTATTGTTGCTGCCCTCTTGCTTTGTAGGGCAGCTTTATTTCAAAAGCTTTTTGCTGCTTCTTGTTTTGCCTTTGGCTGAAGCAAGTTGATGACAGCTGTCAAGACAGAGTACAAGTAAAATCATCATCCGACACAAGGGATACACAACGCAGAAAGAAAAACTTATGTGGGTCTTTACAGCAGAAACCAAATACACTCCAAAAGCTGATGCTTGCTTTCCAACCTTCACTTTTAAACTGTTGCCACATAAATCAACACGTTCTGTACCAAAGTGATAGATTTACTCTAGCTGT